GACCTGGCACACAGGTACTCAAAAAATGACACTCAAGCTGGGTGTAGTGGTGCACACCTATATAATTCCAGTAATATAAGAGGCTAAGGCAGGAGGATCACAAATTCAAGGCCAGCCTGGGAAACTTAGACAGACCCTGTCTCAAAATTAGGGGCAGTGGGGAGAAGGGTGTGTGTGTGTATGTGTATGTGTGTGTGTGTGTGTGTGTGTTGGTGTGCTGAGGATATTGCTCAACAATACAGCACTCCTGGTTTGATCCCTAGTACTGAAAAATAAATAAAAAGTCACTCAATTGACTGAGAACCATTTACCTTTTGCATTTAAGATATTAACAACATAGGATCTGATATTAAAGTTTGCAGAACCAAGTATAATTCTTTCATATAGGACTCATGCCCTTCTATAATCTGGACCATGCTTACTTGTCAACCTCCTGTACGCTACTGACTTCATGCCTCTGCACCCAAATGCAGAGAAGGCTTGTCCATACCTGTACACAAACACCTCTTGTAACTCCTAAGTGTCTGTACATGGTGATTTCCCCACATGGACAATAAGGCTAATAGTCATTTCTCCTTTCTCTTAATTTACACACAATACCATTTACACCTCTTTATTCACTATATACACAATCTCTCCCTCACTAATCTATCAACTGTATAAAAGCAAGACCTATTTGATCACTTTTATAAGCCTCACAAACAACAACAGAGTCACACAGAATTACATTGAGTATGAACGTTTTTTAAGAAGTAAATGTACAATGTTAGAAAACTCTCAAATATTTTTAGGAAAACATCTAACAAGTTAAGAATTCTATTTTTACATACCTATCAATAATTCAACAAAGTTTTTTAAGACTACTTAAAAGACTATATATAAGGAGCAAATTTTTCTGTAGTAGTTTAAAAAATGTTTTCTAAAAATAGACAACATCATGGGATTGCTTTTAAAAATTCTTTAAAAAAAAGAAAAAAACTTAAATTTAAATGACTTACATGAACACACAAAAGGTTCCTCATCATTTTGGTACTTGGAAAAGGAATAATCTCTTGGCTTTTTAATTTCACTCTTGATTTTTTCAACATTATAGCTGTGAAATATCCCTCTTCATGACCTTCAAATGTGTGAGGGGAAAATTCAGTTTATCACAAGTTTTTTTACTGAAGATTTTATAACAAAAGGTAACATAATTAAATGGATCTAAATCTTTAAACTTCTTCAAAATAGCTCACAGCCAATCAAGCCTATGTTTACCTGTCCCATCCCAAAGTTTAATCAGAAGCATGGAAGATATAAAAAAAAATAAAAATAAACAGAGATGGGGTTCAGGTAGAATAAGAAGAGAAGCACAGTGAATTAAAATTTCCAATAGCAGAAAAGAGAAAGCACGGAAACAAGTGGTAAATGGTTTATCAGCACAGCGGGGAACCAGTTGAGTGCAGATAGAGGACCACCAAGGAGAAGCAAACAGGCTTGTTCCACCAAAGTGTGGAAACAGGACTGGACCATAAGGCTACTACAGAAGACAGGTGCTGAGCTCAGGCCAGGAGGCCAGGAGAAGGACTGACTACAGGGCTAAACACATCCCAAAGGTCTTCCACAGCTCTGGGCAGCCAGTGGCCCCCACACTAATAGGAGACTAAAGATCACCAGCTGTTACGTGAGGGGTGAGAGGAGAATGAGTGAGGTGTGGACTAGAAATAAGGATAAAGTGAAGATGTGGACTAGAAATAAGGATAAAGCCTACTCAAGAGAGGGTGCCTCAGCTGCTCCTCCCACTGACCTCCTATTAGCAAGAAGGCAATACAAGCACACCAACACCCAGAAGACAGAGCTAAGGAATTTATTCCTCTTATTTTGTTTTTCTTGAGATAGAGGTCTCAGGTCCAGCTATGTTGACTAGCCTAATATTGAATTCCTGGACCTAAGCAATCTTCCTGCCTCAGCTGGAACTACAGGCATGTGCTACACACAATTCTGGCTTAAGAAGAATTTTTTCTTAAAGCAACTGAATGGTTTCAGGTTAAAGACTTCTACACACTGACACACAGACAATCGGGGATCTCCCTCAACTCAACAAGCAATTGGCTCTAAAATGAACGAATGCTTCCCTCACCTCTGGTGAGGTGTGCTACCCAAACTTGCCCAGAAATATTAAGTTGCAATCGGTTCTTTAGTACCTTGCATTTAACTGTATCAAGAGCCAAGGATTCCTCGACATTTAAGTATCAGGTCTAAGGTAACATGACTGACAGAAAAATAGATGATCAAAAGAGATGAGAAGAAAGCGAAGGCACACAGATTAAAACCTAAAACCAACAACAAGAAGAAAGAAGGCTCTTAGAAATAAGCTGCAGTATTCATTAATCAAGAAGAAACATAAGGGGCTGGGGCTGTAGCTCAGCAGGAGAGCACTTGCCTATCATGTGTGAGGCACTGGGCTTGATCCTTGGCACCACATAAAAATCAATAAAAAACAAAAACAAAATAAAGGTATAGTGTTCATTTTTACAACTAAAAAAGAAAGAAAGAAAATATATAAGAAAGAGAACTGTTCAGTGAAGAGAAAGCCTATAAAATTAAAATAAATATATCCCAAAAGTTAAGAAAGTTGCATCACCTCCATTGTAAACTAGAAGACACTGAGGCAGTATCTTCAAAATTCATGGGAAATGACTTTCCTACCTAGAAATCTACATCCATTTAAAATTATCAACCAACTGCATGAGGCTAGAACAAAGGCATTTTCAATATTCTAGGATTTAAAAACTTCACTACTCAATGTACTACTTCTTAAAAAGTAATTCAAGGGATCGGCTCCCCCCAAAAATGAAGAAGTAAACTGAGGAACAGCAAGGCATGAGATTCAAAAAACAAGAAATCCAAATGAGAGAGACATAAAGAATGCCCCAAGAACATGCCGAAAGGAAGCCCACAAAGAGGAACAAACAGAGATTGAGAGACTCTTTTCCTTTACAGTCATGGATTCAAGAATAAACTAAAATTAAATACTGCATACTAAGTAAAAGCAAAAATTAAAAACAACAACAACAACAAAAACCCCCCAGAAAACACTGAATATCAAAACCAGGAGATATGGCCAAGTGCTACGATAAACATACTTAGCAAAAACAAAATAAATGGGAAATTTTTAAAAATCAAATTATTCAGGGCAAAAAGACAAGGGGGACAAAAAAAGAATAAAGACTCTGAAAAAGCATAACCACAATGTAACTATCACGCTTAAAATGACTAATAACTATGCTCAGGGGACAGCTCAAGTGGCAGAGTACATGTTCAGCACAGACAGGCCCTGGTGATATCCCAGCACACACAATTTAACTGAATTCCACCAAAAACAGAGCCAGTGTTTCAAATTGTAGTACATTACATTTTTCAAAAAAATCAGACATTTCAACTACTTTTTCACATTTATTAACCCTAAATGTTATGTAATATTCTCCTATAATTCTTTTAGTAATCTTGTACCTTTTTTCCCTGAAACTTATATTTGTGCTTTTTCTTCTCTATATTCAATTAGGTTAACTTAAACTTTGTCTATCTCTTTAATCTATTTTTTTTTGGGGGGGGGGGAGGAGGGCAAGGGGAGGTGCTGGGGATTGAACCAAGGGTGCTTAACCACTAAGGCACATCCCCAGCCCTTTTCATTTTTAAATTTTGAGACAGGGTCTCACTAAGTTGCTTAGGACTTTGCTAAAATGCTGAGGCTAGCCTCAAACTTGTGATCCTCCTCTCTCAAGTCTCCCAAATTGCTGAGATTATAAATGATTATAAAGATGTGCCACCCTGCTCAGCTCTTTCATCTGTTTTTCAAAGAAAAAGACAAATTAAATAACAGGAAAAGTGTTACCTGTAATAATTTCGTAACTCCTTGCTCTCTTCTTTAGATAGCTATAATATGGGGGAATAACTTCCTGTAGAAATATTACATCTGGGCTGTACCTAATTAGAAACATCAATTGAATGTAAATACTAGGTATACCATTCATTTTCAGCTACCTCAATGAAAGAAACTCCACAGTGTAAGAAATGTAAAACTGTTACCCTTTAGGGCACTTAATATCCAACCTTTGAGTCATGATAAAATAAGAAAGATTTATGTTACTTAACACTCAGCACTATTATGATCAAATTAAAAAGAACAAAGGCCAGGGATGTAGCTCAGAGTCAAAGCACTTGCCCGGCTTGTGTGAGGCCCTGGATATAATCCCTAGCACCATAAAAACAAAAATCTACCACCAAAATACACTGAATGACTGAAAGTAGAAACCACCATATTGAGAGCCTATAATGATCTTGCCCTTTAATAGATGCTTTCAATGTTATCTCTGTTGATTCTCTTAAAATAGTGAGAAAACTAAAGTCCAGAAAACTTAAGTGGTTTGTCCAAGTCACTAAACTGGTGCAGGGTAAAAACAGATCTTCTGGATTTTAATTTCACAGTAGTTATAGTAATTACACACAAAGTTTACTGTGTAAAATAATTCTAGAAGGCTTCTAACAAAAATTGGTATTTCCTATCTGTCCCACCTCAAGATGCTACTCTTGGAGGCAATCACCTCACAAGTTTCTCCTGTGAACCTAAATCTAATTCTAAAGCCCACAACACTGGGCTGTCATTCCATAGCTATGTAAGACACATTGTCACAGTAAATGATCAACAAAAGTGATACTTACAAAGTTATGTAGGAACACACCCCACGAGCCCTCTCCTGCAGACTGTTTAGATCCAATCCATCAATATTCCACGTAATGAGAGAGAACATGCTGCCATCTTCTTGCTGAGTATTTTCAGATGGGTTGATTTTTGAACTAGTGGAATCAGTTGTTTCTTCACTGGTTAGGTCAACACTAGCAAAGATCAGAATAATACACAACTTTGCAAATAATCGATATATTGATTAAAAATTCTTTTGTATTTGTAGCCCTTATTTTGCAGATATAGACTAAAAATACCTAATTAGAAAATTCAAAATGTCCTCCCTGACCGAAACACTTCTTGTTCCAAGCATTTCAGATAAAGGGTACTCAGCCTATAATTAATTAATTATTTTATCATTTATTTTGTGGTGCTGGGGATTGAACCCAGGGCCTTATGCATACGAGGCAAGCACTCTACCAACTGAGCTGTAGTCCCCCTTTATTTATTTATAGGAAAAAAAGTTTTCTAGCTTTGCCAGAAAAAGAGCAGCACAGGCAACTCCGGTCCCAGAGGCTGTGATTCTGCCCACCAGGGGGAAGAGGGGGCTTTTAAAGAGGTGATTCAAAGGCTACATTCCAGTGCTCTGACTGAATTTGAATTTCACTTGTTAATTTGAGAGGGTCATTTCTGAGATTTCTGGTACCATCCCCAAAGTCTGAATTACTTTGTTCCTGTGGTGGGTGAGTGCTAGAGGACAGATAACTCTGCCTAGGAAGGGGAAGAAAGGTAATCCTGTTTCCGCCAAGATTAGGGAGGAGCAGGCAAAGAGGAAGAGAAAAAAAAAAATGTCCATTTTAAAAATAAGACACAGTGGCAGAGTAGTAAGGGCTAATTCAAAGAATAAAGTGGACCACTGTTGCATTTCTACATTCTATTTCTACGAAGAAATCTCTAAGTTACTCCTGCTGAGTCAAGGTTGTGGGGATTAACCAGTAAGTGAAATTTAAGAAAGCCCTAAAAATATCTATTCATAGAAGACTAAATGTTAAATGACTGAGGAAAAATAGAGTCTCTGTTATCCAAATGTTTGCTCACTTACATAGTTATAACCAATTCAATATCCTTCAGGTGTCATTAAAATAATTTTTTAAGAGGGCTGGTGATGTAGCTCAGGGGTAGCATGCTTGCCTAGCATGTGCAAAGTCCTGAATTGGGGCCCCCACATCATACATGCGCATAAAACAACCAGAGCCTCAAATTAGACTAGGAAATATAAGAGTTCCAAATTTATTTGGGTTATGTCATTTAAAGTAAGAGCTCACTGTTTTAGATTAGAAAAACAACTGCAAATCCTTTCCTATTTCCTTAGTTGAGTGGGGAAGTCTAGTATTCCTCCCCTTGAATTGGACTTTAGTGACTTGTTTGACGAATAGAGGACAGTACAGTGGAAGGGATATGCTGGGACTTCTGAAGCTTGGTCATAAGCCCTGAAGCTTCCACTCAGGCCTTTTGGAACCTTGAGCTGCCCTTAGAAGCCGGACTACCTTAAGACTGCCACGAGAGGCCATATTTAAGTTCTCCAGTCCATAGTTCTACCCAAACTCTATTACACCCACATTAAGGCCCCAAATAAATGAGTGGAGAGAGAAAACATTAAAGATGACTGCTAAGGGGCTGAGGTGTGGCTCAGAGGTAGAACACTCGCCTAGCATGTGAGGCCCTGGGTTCGAACCTTAGCACCACATATAAATAAATAAAATAATATTAAAAAAAAAGATGACTGCTAAGTATTTATAAAGTATAAGTTCAAGAAATCTATAGTTTTAATTAACTTAATGCTGACTGCTATGGCTTAGATGTTGTTTGTTAAGCATATATTCATGTGTTTGAGGCTTGGTCCCCTGGGCAGCAGTACTGGGATTTTTAAGGAGTGGGCCCTTGTGGAAGTCCTTAGGTCAGTGGGATTCCTGTCCTTAGAAGGAATAATGGATTCAGGGAGCAAGTTCTCACAAGAGTGGGTTCTTTAAAAAAAACCCTGAGCCTACCCAGTCACTCTCTGGCTTCCTGTGTCAAGATGTAATTGGTCTGCCTGCATGTACTCCTGTCATCCACGTGCCATAACAGGCCCTCTCCAGAGCCTGTGCCATGTTGTTTAGACTTTCAGATTCCAAAACTGTAAACTGAAAAAAACACTTTTTCTTTATAAGTAGCCTAACTTGTCTTTGCTCTGGAATCACTCATTTCTAAGAGACCCTTGTTCCTTTTAGTAAAGAACTGTGTTTAGAAGCCAACATCTATCTTGGTGCCAGATGAACTTAATAATTTTGAAACAAATTATAAATCTTTTAAGTTGTCTTTTTTATACATCACATTTGAGAGCATAAAAAAAAATGTGCAAAACTTTCCTTTGAGTTTTATCCTCCCCAAAAGCTCTTTCTTCCTCAATAATTATTTACTATTGTATATTTTTTCAAAGTCTTATTGCCAAAGAGAAAAAGCTAAATGATTCTAGTATTTTGTCAAGAATGTTAGCACCTTCCTCTTTCATTGGAAGCATTAAAAAAAAAAAAAAGGCAGGAATATCAGCCCCTCACTTTTGTCCAATTTTTTCATCCACAGTTATATATTTTAAAATGTGTATAGTACTGAACTGGGCTGCATATATGACAGTGATCCCATAAGATTATAATGGAGCTGAAAAATTCCTATCATTTAGTTACCTTGTAGCCATCTTAAATTTATTTTTAAAAATTTTTTTAGTTGAAGATGGACAAAATATCTGTATTTTTTTAAAATTCATTTTTATGTGGTGCTGAGGATTGAATCCAGTGCCTCATGCATGCAAGGCAAGCGCTCTACCACTGAGCTACAGCTACAGCTACAGCCCCAGCCCCAGCCATCTTAAATTTAACATCACATTACTTGGGTGTTTGGGGGTGATGCTGGTATAAACAAACAGTACGGTCAGTCATGTAAAAGTACTACATCATACAGCTATGTAAGGTAAATTAAATACTTGATCATAATTCTTTTAGTCAGCTTTCTCACTACTGTGACTAAAGGATCTGATCAGCACAGAACCCAGGGGTGCTCTACCACTGAGTTACATCCCCACCCCTTTCTATTTTCTTGAGTCAGGGTCTTGCACTAAATTGTAGAAGCTGTCCTCAAACTTAGAATCCTATTTCAAGTTGCTGGGATTACAAGTGTGCACCACTGTGCCCAATCTTCCTTTCAAAGTTTAAAGATGACTACCTGTAACTACTTAATAAAAATGTAAGCACTCTTTCTCTCTCCTTAATGGAAGATAATCCAAAGTCCCAATAGATGGGATTGTCATGGAGTGCTGTCATGAATAAAGTACAATAGTGTTCTTAATCAGAGCTGACATTTACTGACCTCTTCCTAAGTGCCAGGCCTATTCCAAGGGTCTTATATCTATTAACTTATTCAATCCTTAGAACAACCCCAATGAGGTAGGTACTATTACTCACCTCAAGATAAAGATTATCGGTTACTAAATGGCACAGGTGGATTTATATCTTTGCATTTTGGCTCCAGAATTTATGACCTTATTTACTGCACTATTAGTTCTTCTCCTTGTTTCACTGTAATCCAACACCATGTGTGTAATTTATGTATAAATATCCATAATAAGTTCCATAAGTATCCATAATACTTAATGTGGGAAAAGTACCTAAAGAACTGCAATAAAAACTTCTATTCAGAAAAATGGAGAGAGAAACAAATTCCAAAACTAGTGTTGAACAGAAATAATAAGGAACTGAACTTGACTTCCTCTCTAAGTAGTAAATGCTTTAGTCTATGTGATGCCTTAGGTTCTATGTTTGAGAATAGAATTCCTCAGCTTTAAATCACCTGAGGTCTTGTCAAAATGCAGATTATGATTCAGCAGGTTTGGGAGGGGACCTGAGATTTGGCATGTCTAACAAATCCCCAGGCAGTGTCATGCTGTTGGTTAGGAGAAAGAACGCTGTTAACAGAAACATGCAAGAGGCAGGCTCTACATCAGAATTACCAGAGCTGCTTAAAAAAAGAAAAAGCTCGATAAGGTGGGACTGGGGTTATGGCTCAGTGGTTGAGCACTTACCTCGAATGTGTGAGGCACTGAGTTCAATCCTCAGCACCACATAAATAAATAAAATAAAGATATTGTGTCCATCTCCAACTAAAAAATATTTTTAAAAAATCGATAAGGAATAAATGGGTCCCACTTCACACTAATTAAGCTCTCTATGGAGTGAGGCCCCAGGACAAAAAAAATTTTTTTTAACTCCCCAGGTAATTTTAATCAGTAGCTAAGATTCAACACAGAACACCTGGTATTAAGAAAAATTTTCCTTGTCTCTCCTGAGACACACTAAATATAGATTCTAATGTAGAGGCTAAATCACTTTAGTGTTGTTTGTTTTTGCTAATATCTTAGGAATTCACTGAAGGTTCTACCCACTGCTTTAACATAATCAAAGCCCTTGTGCAGCGGCTTCAATTTTTCTGGTCACAAAATCTTCCTAAAGCCAACATCAAAAAATCTAATCAGGGGCTGAGCGCGCTCGCCTGGCATGCGTGTGGCCCGGGTTCGATCCTCAGCATCACATATAAACAAAGATGTTGTGTCCGCCGAAAACTAAAAAAATAAATATTAAAAATTCTTTCTCCTCTCTCTCTCAAAAAAAAAAATCTAATCAGGTCATGATACATGAATATTTACGAATTAGAAACACCTGGAAGCTTGACCTTTCTCTATTTTCCTTAGGAGAGCTGAGAAAACTAAAGCCACAGTCTTCTCAGTATTTGCTCAGAGGTTTAAGAGACAACAGACTACAGCCTTATAACTTTTTCCCCCCTGCCAAGGTACCATTCTAGAGTAGGGGACTTCTAATAGCTCCAATGTCACACTACTCAACTCAGTACATTTTTTGTGAGGACCTATATCAAGGAGTTCACTTACTTTGTTTTGATTTATCAGTCTGTTACAAATAACAGACAACGACTCAGAAAAGAGTCTGCACTGTGACTAGCCAACAGTACAGGCTATCCATAAAGTGGTAAGAACTTCATAATTCAACACACACTAGCTGAGACTATTACCTGCCAAATATTGTGTCATATTTTTGAGAAATCAATAATAAATAAAACAGATATGTCTTTACCAAACGTGTAGTGGAGTAAAAGATATAAAATACTGAATCACAGTTAAGAGTATGGAGCAAGTTATGACAAGGATCACCCAAGATGTAAATACAAGTACCTAAAACAGGAAGCTTATCCAGACTTGAAAGGTCAGGGAATTTTCAGCAGGTATCATGCCTAAACTGAGTCCTCTAAGATAAGTATTAGTAAGCAAGGAAGGAAAAAGGGAAAGTCTCAAGCAAAGGTAATAGAGAAAAACAAAAATGGCCCACTGGAATAAATGAAAGTTCGATGTCTGAAATTCTTCCGGTAATAGGAAAAAGAGGGTGGCAGATGAACATCCTGGAATGATAGGCAGAGTGACAATGGAACTTATGAGGCAAATGGGCTTTATTTTATGAGCAATAAAGCAGGAACTGGGGACAGGTCACTTAAATAAAAGGAGTGTGGATTAAAACCACCACCAAAACCTACCGTTCTGGTGGGCCAGCAGAGAGCAAATAAACAGAAAACAAGGCGACTTCAAGTTACCATTCCGGGGAGGGAGGAGAGTAGCAGGGCTTGAACCCAGGAGCGCTGGTGTGACCCGGGGCCTGGCTAAGTTGCTGAGGCTGGCTTTGAACTGGCGATCCTGGCCTCGGCCTCCCGAGCTGCTGGGATTCCAGGTGTGCATCACTACACCTGGCAAGTCACCATTTTTT